GTACTCATCGGGAAACTGCCGCTACCTGCCTCTGTTTCTCCCACGACTGTTACATTTGCATATTAGCAACCAGCCTTTGTTATACATCGTTGCGTTCCTCTTTGATGGGGCTTTCAGAATTTGTAGGAATTTTCCGCGTGCGCGCAATATGCAAATTTTTATTGCGGAACACGCATGACTTTTCATACAAGCCTCGTAGTCCTATGCCTGACACCCTACCCAAGCATCGAGAACGCGGAGGAAGCCTTCGAGGGGGGGACTGGCGAGAATCCAATTCAACCTGGTGGCAAGGTTACTTTCACCTGCAAGCATCCGCGAGGGTTCTCCGACGGATCCAAGACACACGAGGCCGCTTGTTCCCTCGCAGAACCTGATGCTTGGTGCACGACGTTTGTGAAAGAAGAAACGGCTCTCCTTTGTCCACCTCCACGTAAGCACGTTTCAAAGACAAAGCGTGAGAAGGAGGAAGTTGGTGGGAGAGAGAATGCAAAGGAGGAAAGAGAACAGTATATTGTGATTTTCAGCCTACGAATCGGCTGCGTGGCACTAAAATATTTACCATTTCTAAGAATTTCTAGAACTTGAAATATTAGCCCATGATGTATGGTACGACGTGAGAAAAGTGAGCCCACGGCAGACGAAACTATGCCGGCCGGGTTGGTTGGCCTGCTGGGGTGAAGGGCGGGGGACCTGTGCACTCACGCTTGTCAGTAATTTGACATCACGGGAACACCTCTTCTCAAGTTGAAGGGCTCTAACCTGCTTTTCATTGGAGCTTTCTGATTCCTACTTGGAATCTGGTTCTCAACCGTTGGTCGGAGGGGTTGGAGGTTAATGACCAGACAGGACCTCCTTCGCTCATTTTGCGAAGGAAGTTTCACCCCACACTTCGAAATTTTCACCCCACACTTTGTGTGTGGGGTGAAAATTTTCCCCGCTTAATTCAGGAATAAAAGTACTCCAATGGAATATAATGGTTTCAATGTTTTAAAAATGTTCATTACCGCTCAATTTCCAGGAATGCATATAAAGGGTGTCCGAGAATGGTTTAATCGAATTATCTCTGCAATGGGGAAATTAAGAACCATGCATTTTGCATTAAGGTAAAGATTAGAATTACAAATTTTCTCCCCCTATATGATATCCTTAGTCGTTAGTTTTCTATTGTGAGGCGTTGTAAGGCAGTTCCGTTTGTGTGTCGCTGCAAAAGTAGTTATGAAGGCCAAATGCGGGTGGCACAGAGGCGTTGCAAGTCATTGTGTGATCAATATCAGAGACAGCCCACAAGTGAATGGAGAGATCTTTTTCATGACAGTGTTACTGGGCTATTTTTTCTCGCAGAACCGATTCTCACTAGTGCAACATACCTTGATATGTTGCTACTGTATGTTGTGCCATTGTTGCAGGACATCATGGACACTGTCATCGTGCGTGAAGACGGGGGAATTCACAATTCTATCATTCAGACGATTAACGTATTGTGCATCCGTTCGAAGCGCGGTTTCTCAAATCTATGTTATTAGGGGTTTTTGAGAATTAGAAGTGGGAAACTTAAATGAAATCGGCTATTCCCACACCCTAAATAAGACTGCGCCCTTTTACGTTTTTTTTGGGGGGGAGCGGGGCGGGGGGGTTAGAGAGAAGGAGGTAAGATGCCGTCTGCCAGTCCTCTACTAAGAACAGGCAGATGGAATATGTCTGTCTGTCCTCTATTTGCTGGAATTTTGGAAAATAGAGGATTGAAAGGAGAGGGAGCTCCGCATATTTCCCTATACGTCGCGACAGTCGGTTCGATCTAATTGCACAGTAAGCATGTTTCATCACACGTGAACGGAAATGGATTCCTGCCGAAGTCCATCGTGCTGAAAATCACATCGAACTGTACCAAGGATGTTGCGGAAGGTGAGAAAATAAAGAACTAAAGAATAAAAATAAACAGAAAATATAGAAAATAAAGAAAAGAACTCTAATATATTTCACCTAAATGTAAACCGCATTTTTTTCGTCTCCACATTCAGGAAATATTTAAATTTGGAACCGACGCAACCATTTTCAGACATAGTATCATATTTTAAGTGCATCATCATTACACGAGATTAGAAAATGTTCTAAATCGTATGAATTTCCCAGGTAGTCGAAGTACACTCATCGGCAAAGAAAATCTGCACCAAGGAGGAAATGAACTATCTTGATGAAGTTTGGTAAACATACTCGTATTAATGTGTCATGAAATCGATGCGAGTCTCGAGGTGGAAGGTTGGGTATTCGCAGAGAAAACTTTCTAAACATCTCAATTAAAATTGAGTCGGAGGGGTCGGACTTATCACCAACAACGAACGTCTAGAAAGTTTTCATTAAGGAAATGCGAATCAGGAACATCTACTGATGTTTAGTGAAATGGAACAAAGTTTCAAGGTCATAGGATGAAGTGAAGCAGGGAAAACTAGCCGAGCTAACCAAACGCCTGGAGGTATAGGACGACTGCACTGATCAGGCTAGTTTCCTTGTCCGCTTCACTCCATCCACTCCACTTCGGTTAAATCGTTTGTTTTTGGTCTTGAAAGCCATGCCAGGACGACGTCTACAATAGAGGTTTCGCAAACTTGACCAATTCAATCGTGGTGTCTTAGTTTTTCATGATTAGGCAAACCTTAGCGTGCATCCTATTCCGCATCGGCTAAGAATTAGTGTGACTACCGTGAGGCCATGTTTCAGGAAGGTGCGAAAGAAATGAACGGGAACGAGTAGCAAGCCGCCCATGCATCACCATCATCGAAATGAATCTGGAAGTGCACGTCTGCCTGATAGTCGATGAAAGAAACAGCGCCGGAGGACGTGGAAGCTCTCGTTCACGCATCAACTATTCATTGAGAGATGTCAGGACAAGTTGGAGGGTCAAGCCAAATCTTGCCCTGTTATTTTACTTGTCCATATAATACGTAATGCTCCTTTTATGGGCATGTTTGTTCGCATGGAAAGTTTTCCTTGCACCATTGTTCGGATCCGAGTGAGATTGATTTGAAAGTTAAGATTGAAGCTAGGATAAGATCTGCATTTCTTTTTCGTCGCATCGCTATTAAACTTCGGAAGCTTCGATCTATACATGAAAGTAAAGCTCGGAGGAGGTATTTGGTTCAACGAATGGCTGCTAGCTTGAATTTCGTGTTAGGTAATTGGGGTCAAATACTTCCGTTTTTCATCCTCGCAAGCAGAAAAATTGGTCTTCTCTCATCAATAAGTTAACAAATCTGACTTAAGAGAAATCAGGAAGCACTCTTATTTCATTCCATTGATACATAGTACTTCCTTGCAGTGTCTTGCGTGAGCGAACATCCGATATTGGAAAACGTTAATGTGACCTATGAAGGATGGGATGGGAAATACCCGGCACCTCCGGGCGCTAGAGTCACCTACACCTGTCGTCATCCTGCAGGGTTCACTGATGGATCCCCTCAACACAATGCCACCTGCTCATTCTTACCTGATGACGAATGGGAAACCTCCTTTGGTAGCAAAGCTATCCAATGTCCACGTGAGCCCCTCTTTTTTACATCAATCGCAGGTAATAGGTTATATGCGCCAGATCCGTTAACTTCATACTATTTATGCTTCATTATGGTGTCTAGTGAAATAGGATTATCGCCGTCAAACGAATTTCCATTGAGGACCATTGTGAGGTCAGATAACCTTAGTTAAATAGAGCTTGTGCATGTCATCCAATGTCCGTCATCCCATCCATTGCAATACAGGAAAGAAAGCTTATATTCTATCATGCAAGTTCCAATTGCTTGTCTGGAAACCCAAAAATTGCCATAAGTGTAGATTTACAACAAAAAGGTGTTGCAAGTCACTGATGATATGTTCATGGAAACTTGGTACATTCCACTTCAAATTGGAATTGTCATTGTTTAATGCTTTTAATTCAAATGAACTTTAATCATGCATACTGATGAAATATTCATTATCTCTAATTACCCTCATAAAGGCTCTCATGAGAAAAACCAGCGCAAAGAAGCCGAAATTTTTCAAACACTCCAAATTTCAGTAATACTTACAAGTCACTAAAAGCTTAGCAACCATGCAGTTTCCCAGAATAAGTTTAAATATTGACAAACTTTATGCAACAACTCCAGCATTTAAGGAGGAAATAGGAGTAGATCAAAATTTCCCGAAGCAAAGGACGGCCAGTCTGGTATTTCTCAGGTAATATAGGTCGAAGACAAAGTTTATGAACATGAAGATCGCCGAAAAAGCTGTCCAATATGTTGTGTCTCCAGTAATTAGTATGACCACGCCTTGGTCTTAGATATTCTCGCTATCAGCTTCTCAATTTCCTGGCGATCATCTGGACTTGCCCCTCGTGGATCTTGACCAATTTCCGCAGCAGAGGAGCTTGATGTTGATGAAGAGCCAAAATAGGTAGTGATCGGTGGTTAACATTGTTGCCCACCAGGGTCACAAACACGCTTGGAGGAATGCCAAGTTCGGTATATTGATTGGCCAGTCCATTCTGTTCACTTCATTCTAAAGCAGGGATTGGTTGACTAACTGCGCCCATGAGGCCTAGTATTATCATTTTGGAGACTGGCCAAGCGTCGCATGTTTCGCAAGTAAGGCGGAGCAGGAACAGAATTTCTTCAATGTCGCATTGCTTTGTCAGAAATCCATGCACTAAATGCAGAGGACATCTACCGAAGACATTGAAGCCTCACAATCCATGATGGTGACGAGAGGTGTGGCCACCACCGAATCCATCAAGTTCCTGAAGAGCAGTATTTGAAAACCTTTCTCCCCAGCGTCTATATACTTGTCAACAGCCGTCATTAAACAAATTGAGAAACGAGAATCATCTATGAACAACACGAAATGCCATTGTCCATGATTGCATCCAATGAGGGCTCTGTGCCTCTCATGGCAACGTCTACGGTGAACTTGTGAACAGAAGCACCATAGTGGCTAAATGGCGAGGTAGGAGACACGTAGCTAGGTGATTCCCCATGAGTGATGTTTGACCCCCGTAGTTACCCATATTAGCTGTCAGAAAGACCCTGCAGTTCTGGTCCTTTCTTAAGGAGCAGCAACCTGCTGAAACCCATCTTGATTAGGTTTTTTTCCAGACCTTGGCTGGTCCCATAGGATGCTTCTTGATTCACAAAAAGCTTTTAAACGTCGCCATTAACATGCATTTCGTGCTTTTGCATACAATAAAAAACTTGGAAACTTCTGCATTTGAAAATCCAACTTCCCCCACACAAGCGGTCCTGGATTTCTAATGTTCCATAAGTGACCTTCCTCTACACATTTTTTTGGAGAAGTGACTTCCAATCAATGCGTGGCCTTCTTTCGAGAGAAATAGGTTGTGAGCTTCGAAGTTTATCATGAAATTATAACTTTTCAGCTGTAGTGAAACTGTTGATTGGTAGAGGTGGACATGTAGTCATCAACTCGGTATCTTTTTTAGCTGTCATCAGCATTCAAAAGAAAACTAAATTTTTCTAAAAGCATTCATATTTCACCCCATATTGAAAAAACAATCCCCACATTACTGTATTCGCAACGGCAAAATACATGTTGAAATGTCTGTATTTGAAGAAAGAGAATTTATAATTCTACCACCGATGAACATTGAGAGTTGCTAAACTTTTTGAGAGTGGTAAATTATATTTTTCTCAGCAAAAGACACTAATGCAGATGATATAAGATTAATTGAATTTACAGAAGGTGACAAAGAGTGAACCACTGGGATTCTTGTATTTCCCTAGGAACACTCTTCATGCGAACAGATTATATCAAGTGGGCTCCTCGTTTTCTTAGACTTCTTACTAAGTCTTACTAAGCAAGAAGTCAGATTAAAAAATTCAGGAGAAACACCTGTCAACATATAAGATCTAGGTATGCGTTCTTGCTGTGCACCTGCACGGAAAATCATAAATTGTACGGTCATGCCATATTTTCAGCAACTGCGAACCTCTGTTTTTACAAATTGGTGAAATCTTAATTACATTCTGTGAAAAATTCAGTTTCCGAATTTCCGTGCTGACAGCAATTTCCTGATTATCGTAATCTCCATTCCAAAGTGTTCATCTTTTTTTTTTACAATTATTTCATCTGTCCCTTTTTCATGAATTTCTTTATCAGGTAAGGTGATGTATCCAGACTGCCTCCTGACAGTGAAGGGGAAAGAATACATGGGGAGAGTGAATGTGACAGAGACAGGGAAATCATGCCTGAGATGGGATGCTCCCGAACTGAGAAAAATCTATGATGCGGATCCTATATACAAGTTCGATGCATATCCGGGACTCTTGTATGAAGAGTTTTTCTTAAACTTGAACCCAGCTTCACATGAGAACTTCTGCAGAAATCCAACAACGAAGGACAGACCCTGGTGTTTTGTCGATGATGATGGCGAAATCCATTCCGAGTATTGTCGGATTCCCCTCTGTGATGACAAACGTAAGTAAAAACATCTGTATGAATGCGATGGGATACGTTCAGTAAGAAATAGGTTTCCATGATGGTTGGAAGAAGGCATCTTACATCTTGAACGAAATGTACATCTTGAACGAATAGTCATAGTGGGAAGGCCATTAACATGGCATAACAAGAACTTAAGGAGGACCCCCCCTCTCTCAAAAAGACCCATTGGATGCGGTTAATCCAATAGGACATTAAGTTCAATGAATTCTAAACTCAGTTACTTGAGAACCTAGTTTGAATTTGATATATATCCAGAAAAGTTTGAGGGAAAAATTCCATTTAAAAAAATTCACCCCCAGGTGAGATACATATTGTACTCAATAAAACAGGTTGGCAAAACATTTCCTAATGCTAATAATTTTTGAATCGGACCCCATACACTAACCCATCAACAAATTTCTAATTTTCACAATTTCCTCAATTATTTTAAGCACGTCACCAACGAAATGGTGCGCCCTTAATGACTAATAATAATAATAATATATGCTCCAGCAATGGACATATTTTCCTCGAGTTAAAAGAGTAAGGTGTGCTTGTTCCAAAATTCAATAATCTTTTCACTTTTTCATTTGATTTCATTTCTCGGGTGATAATATATTTTACCCATCCAACATAAAAATTTACACTGAGAGGATATACACCCAAAATTGTTCATCTTGAAGTGAACACCATCACCCCAACTTGCACTCAAAAAAGGAAAACTTGACCAATTCGAAGTAGCAATCCTGATCCTCACCACAAAAAAACTCCCTTGAGGAGGATTTTTCTGAAGTTAGTACCCTAAAAACCTAATGGGGTGATAGCTTTCATACTTCTTTTATTTTTTGAACGTGCTTTTAATTAGCGAGAGTCATTTAGTCAGGACAATTCATATGTATTTGAAGCAATATCAAATTAACGATGCCTAACAAGCCGGTCCTGAAGTTCTTTAATGAGTGTGCAGCATTCTTTGGATACGAATTCAGGTGCACCTGAGTGCAAGCTGACTCAGAAGGGAGGGGAATACATGGGAGTGAAGAACATAACTATTTCCGGCTTCCCATGCAATTCGTGGCTGGATCCGAAAAACCAGGAGTATGAGAGAATCCAGGAAAACAAGCGCTTGACATTTTCGGATCCCCTCACCACCACCCACAACTACTGTCGGAACCCAAATGGGAGTCCAGGTGGTCCCTGGTGCAGCATCAAGGACACAGGAGGGTCCGGCATGCAATATGAATATTGCGATGTGCCTTTCTGTGCCCTGGAAGCTGTAGAGAGAGAGTGTGAGTCGGGAAACCAGTGCGAGTCGAGTGAGTCTCTGCAAAGTATTGAAACTTAAATTTTAGGTGTTTTTTTTTCAGAGATAGTGTCGGGTCCAATCCGATTCAATTATACCCAAGGTCAAATGAATCTGAGATAAATAGCTTGGCCTGTCGATAGTCTTTAGAATGGATGAATGCGTAACACTTAGATGCAATAATTGTCCTTGTGTACAATAAATACCTGTAAGTTAACGGAAAAAGGAGTTTCACATTAGGATCTGTTATTGATGTCATTGCATGTCATGACGGATAGTATGAACTAAAGAGTAGGGAAATGCAATGAAGAGAAATCAAGAAAAATGCCACGAAAGCAAAAAAAAGTATGAAAACCAGTCTCATGGGTACTGTGAGTCACCGATGCAATGGACGTCGTCGGGATCATTATAGATTGCTGTGCGATCTAAGTAGGCATCACGGAACTGTTTGGAATAGCTTGCAAATCCTTGACATTTCTCGGCTGTAGCCTCTCGATTACTCTGCTATTTAAAGCTGCGATGTAATGTCGCTTCGGGTGTCGCATCTAATGGGTGTTTTCATGATGTTGAAGACTTCTACGGGGTTCAGGAAAGGCCTGTATGCTGGCAATAGGATGTTCTTCTGCCCTATTAAACCAATAACTTACTTCACTTCTTCCTTAAGACGGAATCCATGACAAGGACGGACCACAAGGATGTAGACATAAATGAAGTGATCCCAGAAATATAGTAAGACTAAAGTATTGCATGATCCACATCAAACGGGACAAAAGACTTACATCAAGGCCAATTGCAAGAATCGCTGTCAGATTCCCCATCATGAAATAAGTATCTCTACTGTTGTTCTCCCAGATCACATCTCCTCCAAATCGTCCTAGAATGTTCAAGTTGAACCCACACTAGTCCATACATCCATGGTTTCCCCTGCGTTATCTCTCCAAATCTACTCGCTCGGCAAGAGATACCTAATTTAATGAAGACATAGTCTTAGATTTCTAGATTGTTGGGTTGTCAGGATACAAGTAAATAAGCATTAAACTATTCCAGTTACTGCATCAAAAACCTTGGATAATCGATTTTACCTTACCTCATTCACCTCAGTAGAATTTCGTGCTAACTGGAACCCGAATAAGTTTTTTCAGGGTGTCATCATTTTCCAAAATCTTCATGAATCAGTGGAAGTGTTAGCCTGGAAGCGTTGCTCGTCTTCTTCAACTGGTTTCACCAACTAATTAGGCGTGATGCTGCCCTGAATTTACTCCGTTCCAAGGAACATATTTTCATGGACTGAGAGTTTCCTCCTCCTTCAGTTTAAAGTCTTCTTTGTCATCCTAGATCTTCACATCTATATTTGGCAGATGCTAGCGACAGTTGACTTAGGGAAGTAGTAATCCTGTCCAATTTTTTTGGAAGGATTTATTATGATTAAACACTTAATTAGCGATTATTTGTTTGTCTTCGTCAGAAACGGGAGAGATCAAGGGCGTTTGAGATATGATGAAACCCATGATATTCATTTTCAGAGATGTGCGAAGTACAGGATGTCACATACACAGGTACCGATTTTTAGTTTTTTATTGCAACAAACATACACAACTTTCCAGTTGAAACTTATATGGAACACTTAGAGTAATCGTTGAAGTTTTATTCAGTGCTTGACATGTCCACCTCTTCTTTCAATGCCCGTCTGGAGACATTTAACAAAACGATCCATGACTAGCTTGAAAGTAACTTTGGTATTTCCTCTGTACAACCATAACAATTTCAGTAACTTCCATCCACAATCTTACGTCTTTCCTCAAAACTCAGTTATCCAGGCATGGTTCACTCTTAAAATAAATTAATTGAAATAGAAGCTGGACATGTTCAATGCTAAATACAACTTAAAAGATTACTATAACTGTTCCATATGAGTTTCATCTATTAAGTTGTGTATGCTTCCTGTATAAAAATATTGGTACCTATTTACAAGACACTCCGCATCTTGCCACCAGTGCCTAGCATTCTGCTAGACTCGCAAACCTTACAGAGAGTCACAGAAGATCATATTTACTTCAGATATTCGCTTTCCGGTTTTGATATTCCTTTCGACCAAATGAAGTTAGTATCGTCTTCTAAACATTGTGTGACGCACTGCGTCGAAACATCGATTGCAGATGGAGATGAAGCTCCACGCATGTACCCAGAATGTCGAATGACGGAAATGGGCAAAGAATACATAGGTTCCGAGAACCAAACGGAATCGGGGAGGAATTGCCTCTTCTGGAGAGAATTTCGCAAGATCGATTTGAATTTCATCTCCTCCCATCTCTCCATCGAGGACCGCTACACTGGATCCTCGGAGCTTACCAAGATCTTTCGTCATGTATTGGAAATGCAGGATGGAAACTTTTGTCGGAATCTGGCGTTGAAAGAGCGGCCCTGGTGCTTCGTGTCCTACGATTTCAGCTGGGAGTATTGCAACATCCCACTCTGTCGCGGTTCCAGAGGTAATCAGAATCTTTCTCATAAAAGAACAGTATCTCTAACATTTAATAAGGGGAAAACCAATTTTCAAAGGTATTTCCTTTCCTCTACCTCAATCTTACTACCAACCCCCCCCCCCCCACCTACTCTACGTAACTCGCTGACGCAAGGCCTTCGCTTAACCGACAGATTGTCTTCGGGTCAGGCCTAGGCCCACTTATTTTCGGTCAAAAGAAACACGATCCTCGGCCTACGGACCACCTGGAGAAAGTGGCTGAATTCATAGCTTGAAGGCCACTGGAATGGTATGTGGCATAATTAATGTAGGGTAAAACACCCAGTTAAGCATAGGTACTCGATGATTGGCCACGTTACCGAAAAAATTCGAAAGACAAGGCATTTGTTCCATGAACACCTTTGAAGTGTGTATGTGCTTCAATGCTGCTAGTCTGTGTCGCAAAAGTGGTAGGCGTGATATGAAAGCTTAAGTGTCGAAATTTTAATGCGCTGCGGCCCATCACTGGGGAACGGTCCATCTCTGGGTCTTTTACCCTACTTTCTTCCCGATTACGGCATTTGAAAGAGGAATAAGGAATTGGCTTCAAAACGATGTACACGATTTGAAAAACATTCAGCAGTTATTGAAATTCTGGACCTCATTTGAACAGAAGAAAACTGGATTCTGACGTGATGGGAATTTCATTCGCCACTAAGAAAAACACGCAGTGTTTCTTTGAAGTTCGTGTGAGCATGTGAAATGTTGAAAATATTTGAAATTTTAACATGCCATTTTAAAGCTTTCTGGGATTACAATGCATTAATAGCTGATTATTTGTTTGCTATCTTACTGCTATCTTATAAAATCTTTCAGTGAAATTTGCCTTCCCGAGGGGATGTTTTTTATAGATGCCAAAACTCATGGATTCCCTTTCCCAAGAAACTCATTCATCCTCTCATGGAGTTAGTCTTTCATGAAGTCACGCTTTCATATACCCGTCGGCAGTGCCCCTGGAATGCAAGATCACGCACGATGGGACTGAGTACGCGGGGTCAATCAACGTGACGGCGGAAGGGGAGAAGTGCATACCCTGGTTGGCCATGACCCCCAACAGGAATTCCGCTTTGCAATACCTGCTGTGGTTTCCCGATTTTGGATTGGATAGTCGCCATAACTACTGTCGGAACATACACAAGATTTATGATGGACCTTGGTGCAAAACCAAGCAAAACATGATCAGCAGTTGCAAAATTCCTTTTTGTTCAGAAGAGGACAAGAAACCTACTTCGGAAGGTATGGAGTGATGTTCACCGATTGGCTCGACCGTTTTATACTCTGTGAGCGTTCCCGAAAGGCTAAATTGTTTCGCGACTTGGCATTTCGATAACTAATAAAATAGAAAAGAATGTCATTCGCAAAGATAGAACATGGAAACTCAGAGATCAATTGTTTGGAAAAGAAAGGTAGATTTACGGCAATTTGTTACGGCAATAATTGTGGATTTTTTGGTTCGCGCAATTCGTACCGTGAATGAAATCACTCGTTTCACTCTAAAACAGAAAAATCGGCAACGGGAAATCTGGAATGCCGACAGACCGAAACCGGGACGGAATACGTGGGGACGATGAGAAAGACTGAAACCAGAAAGAACTGTCTCCGGTGGGATTCCCAACCCTATGGAAAGCTGGATGACTTCAACCCAGCTCTAACTTATGAGGAACACTTCCAACGGAACGATCCCTCGACGGAAGAGAACTTCTGCAGGAACCCGACATCCAAGGAACGACCCTGGTGCTTCGTCGACGATGCAGAGAAGAAATGGGAATTCTGCGACATCCCCCTCTGCTCCAATCACCCCTAATGACCTGATCGCGACTCAAACACTCCGTCTGCATGAGATCCTGACCAGATCAAGCAGGGCATTCGTGATTGACCCGGCCGTATAAAATATTGTATATATCGTCCGTCTTAATGCTTCGGAATTATTGCCGTGAATGGGATGAAAGGGTGAATCCAGATCACCGAATTCCAGATGCGAACTTCACTGTTAAATCATTCCGTTCCTCATCTGTTGAACTTTGCAAAGTTCAACAGTTGAGGAAATATCTCCCCACGCCTTTTTGTGTATCGCTGCAGGTAACCTCACGTAACGTTCTTACCGAAGGTAGGGTGGATAACGGGCCTTCGACGCACTTGACGAGCTCCGATCCTGGGAGTGAAATGTATGAATCCCTTCATTGTGTCATGTTCCCAATTATGGAACATACTGGAATAATATTTGCATAAAATTGCTGAGGACTCACTGCGTGGAAAATTGAGGATTTCTGAAACACCATTCACGTTCCCGATTGGGTAGAAAATAAATACTTTACTAATGCAGGTTTCTTAGCAACTGGGAGCATATTGACCAAATTGGTTTGTTACCATAGGCGTTTATAAGACCTTTCGCCTAATTTCGTTGTAAACTTCTTAATTTTAAAATTAAATTTCGCGTCCAAAAATATTCATCAAGCGTGTGTTGCCTCAAAATGTTATTTCGCATATTTACCTGGCCTTTCACAAATTCCAGTTGTTGCAGCATTTTTCTTTTTGAAAATATATTTCATGCTTAAAAAAAAACAAAAATTGCAATAAAAAAGAATTTTCTCTGGTTTGAGAGAAGCATTATTTGTTAGTACCTTTAAGAAAATATATACGAAATTCAATTTGTTTTTCTACAAGGCAAGCAAGGCAAAAGGATTGCGCAGTAAAGTGGTAAAATGATCTTTCTTCCCTAAATTTTTAAGTGCCACTCCCTCGATTCAACTCCGATAAGTGCGTAAAAATACCATCACGATGACATGAATAGAGGTGGCATTGAGATTTATGTGTGACAAATTACATAAGATTGACGACCGGAAGATGGGTTGTCATTTGAGCAGTCATTTGATTTAAATATAGGACCGTTACTGGGAGAAGAAACTGTTTACTCGGTTCAGGTGAGTCTCCCAGTTCCTGCTCTTGCCAGTAAAAAAATATCAATAGGGCGAGAGCATGGCATGCATTCCTTGTCATTCCTTGTCCTAAGTCATATTTCCTAACCTTAACATGTTTATTAAAATTATTATTTTTCGCTTCCTTTGCTTCGATCGTCATCAGTCGTTACATCTTTCGGCTTGTCCCGTCTATGGAGCGAGGCCCTACCGTTCGCCTGGATTCGTATAGCTCGTGCCAAATCAATCATCACCAAAAACATGTATTTTCACCAGCGAAAAGGGCAAATGTATCATATTGAAACTTTGTGGTTCACTGAGGATGTATTTCGGCAATAATAAAAAATGTTACTTTTCGGTTAAAACGTCTAAGGGCACATATTTTGCAAAATTCGTATTTTCCCAATTTTTCTGACCCAGCAAAACAGAGGGCGCTAGAAAGTTTAAACTTGGCAAATAAGTACCTAATGGATCGCTGAGTAAATCAAAAAGTTTTCTTTTAATATATATAGACGATCGTGAGTAGCTGACTGACATAAGTTCGAATGCTGAGTTCAGGAAAAATTGTACTTTGGTGATACATGCCATAGGGGCACACCTTTTCGGGGAACACATATTCAAATAGTTCTCGTTGCTTCATTCACACGGAGACACATAGAACGGTGAAACTTGGCCTGAACGTGACCGCTGATTCACTGAGCTCAAATGTCAAAATTCAAATTTCCAAAAAAAAATTGTGCTTCATATTTCTTGGGGACGTAACGTTTTCAAGGAATTTTTCATATCCTACCGAATCTGGCGGAAGTAGAAAAGTAGATGGCGCACGCATACTTGAGGTTGATTTAAGGAAAAATTATACTTTTATTGTGCGTTTCCCCAGAGCACAGTTTTTGCGTGGATCGCTTTTCAAAATACATTTTTTCCGCCAGCAAAAAGGGTAAACGTATAAAGCTAAAACTGGGTGGCATGGAGTTCCCTGAGTCTACATTTCAAAATTAAAAAAATCCCTTAAAACCCATCAGGGTACTTTTTTTCAGTCCCATTTTCCCGAATTTATTTATTAATCCAACGAAACAGAGACAGAAAATTAAAATTTCCCTCAGAAGTACCTGTTTGATAGCTGAGTAGAGGAAAAATCCTACTTTTGAATGAACTAAAAATGTATTCTCCACTCTTACGAAAAGGGATACAAGAAAAGATTTCAATTTAGGTACACTAGAATCATTGAAATAATGATTTAGATAAAAATCAAGACTTTCGTCCCCGTATTTCACGTATTTCAATGGAGACGTATTTTAAATACGTGTTTGCCATTTTGCAAAGAAGAAATGAATTAGTCCAAACCTAAGGTAATAGAGCGCCGAAGGCTTGACCACCGCGAGTTTGCGTGCCCGAAGAGCAAACACTAACGCTAGTTACAGATATGGGGAGAGTCACGAAAGCATGTGTTCCATTCTCGACTGAGCCCCTTTCGGTGCGTCGATGAAGGGACGATGAGATCGGGGTGTTGAAACGACGCCGGTTCGCATTCATACGGGCTTGTCAGTTCTTCGGTCGTCTTTGGGGGGGGGTTCTTCCCGGCGGTGTTCCAATACCAAGGACGCTTTAGGACTCTTCGGTTGGGTTCCGTCAGAAGTTGTATGAAGGTTGCATGTCGCCCGGGAAAAAACCCTGTGATCCATATAGATTTTCCCTCTCCGCGAGGTCGTTCGGTGAACAGCTCAATCAGGACTGACAGGGATATCCTGAATTCGTCGTATTCCTTGTTCTGATGTTTTGATATTCCATTCCTACTAGGATCATTTTTCATTCCTGTGGGCCCGCGAAAAAAATCGGCGTTGTAAGTAGATTCTTGTTCTCCACAGCTGGAATGCTGGATCTTGATCGAAGAAGTGGTCCTTCCCTATGCCATTGAAACCAAACTGAAGACGAGGAGGATGAGGAACCTTAACTCTGAACGTAAGCTCGGTATGCATAGGAGAGGACGAGCGAGTTCTGGCTGCTCAAAATCAGTTCACAAGATACATCGGAAGGTCGGTTGTTTGCAGGCCTTTAAGAAAGTGGGTCTCTTATTCACACGTATGATGTTGTAATATGTCATACGTGGAAATAGGGGCCCACAGGCCGATGGATCAGACGACGCTGACTGGCTCGCTGGCCTCCGCGATTTCCCCACATCAATGCTGCCGACTATCGATTCTGGGGATACAGAAGCCCATAACTCTCGCGCGAAAGGGTAAAATGAGGTAACCTGCCCTGGTCATCCAGGAGTCACGAAACAATTACAAAGGTTTCGTTTCGAATTTCGTGGGTTCCTCCGGGCCCTCTCAAGAATGTCTTGGGACGTGAACAGTTTCAAGGGTTTTGAAAATGATCTCATCCTGAAGTCATCGCTGCGAATGAAGAATGAAGTAATGGGAATGTGCTGAAGACCCTTTCCGCTTCTGTCATTTTTCGAACCTCAACTTCATGTTTCATGTTTCAACTTCATGTTTCAACCGATTTCTGGACTATTTCATCTCTCCATCGCAGCCTCTGTCTTGCGCTGTTCCTGGTTCTTCCTCTTACGCAATCATTCGGTGATTTCCTTGGTCCCCACGGTTTCGGCAAGATGTCCAATACATTTACGTGTTGCATCCTTTATATTCACGATGTTTTCAAGCCCAGTCTGAATCCAAGATCTTGCTTAAGAACCCAGGTGCTCGTCAACCTGTCTCGGAAAGTCACGTTCAGTATCGATCGTTCCTTACCTCGTTGGGCAGCTTCCAGTTTTCCATCGAGTTTCTTGCACAGATTCCTATTGCTGATTTTACCCCAGACTGTGTAAACGAAGGAAGTTCGTATATTGAAAATTAAATCGTCCATATAATGGAGAACATACCTCCATGCTGCATGTTAAACATCGCACTTGGCTTTGAAGAAAACGGCGAAAATAAGAGCTCCTCCAAAAATAAGGTTGAACTGTAGTATGCAGAAACGCAAAAAAAAATTCCAATCGTTGCCATGCTCTCCAGGCAACTACATTGATCCAGAAGCCCGTTACACCTTTATTCCATGTCCTTATTTCCACAAGGGTTATAGGAACAGGAGGGAAGGACCATTTTCAGTCTTTATACACCATCTTTCCAAAGTGAAGTTTCTATTCGGATGGTGCAGATATTCCAAGACGCAGGTAACGATCGAAAGTTGTTTGTAAGGAATTTTTATTATTTCAATTGATACATCTTCTGCATTTCCTATTCTCTCGAATTCGTATGAAATGCTCCATTTGAGAAGGGTACATGTCCTTTGAAGGAAAGCAGACTGTTTCCAAGGCCTTCTATGAAGATGCATGCCGCAGACCCTTTTTTGTGAGTACATTGTGACATAGTCCGCTTCAGGCATTGACTGGAAATGTTACTTCGATGGCTTACTTGGGAAGCAAATTCTCTCTAATGTAACATCATTACATGAAAGTCATGTTTTCCTTCTTTAAAATGGGAGACATGTCTTAGTGCACATAATGTCACAGGTGAAAAAGGAGTAATTATTGATGAACCCAGGAAAGTACAGTTACAAGGTTATCTCTCCATTTTCTGGTCTTAACGTCAAGGACACGCCTGATCTGCCCATGTGAACAATGTCTCTGAGTTTTTCTGTCGTCCTCGATCCTTTCCTTTTCCTCTCTCGCACTAACGGATTATTGCGAATAAATAAAAGAAATCTAACGCATTTTACTACTCGTGAAATTCACCTCTCTCTTGCTGCCGACCCCTTAGCCATCTGCAAAAAAAACCCATCGCAAAAAAAAAAACAGAACGAAATTTCAGACTCATCAATATCATTTTGATATTTAAGTCTCTAAACTTTAGAATGTCGTTCTCCAACGAGAATAATCCCGAAAACGCGAGAATTTTAGCGTGGTTCGCGTTGAGAGT